AATACCGTAGAGACTCCTTAACAATCAGATTTTTCCATAAGGCAATATTCTTCATATAACCCTCTATATTAGTTCACTGAACGATGCAGATCCTCCTACTCCATGCATTATGTTTCACTGCGGTTTGCGGTTTCACTTTTCAACTTTTTAATCTCCACTACAATATGATAGAAAAATATAAACACTTGCAGGTTAAAAGTGTTTACACAAATTGTGAGTGTGACGAATTTTTGTGCTTGTATTTTTTAGAATAGTCTTCTTCACCACTGTCATCTGTATTGACAATAACATCCTGATCATCTTCACCATCAATTTCACTTTCTTTTTCTTTCAACCACTTCCCCAAAATATCTTCTGCATCTCTACCAGTTAGTCGAACCAATCTTCATGCGTCGATGTTTATAGAATGATTGCAGAGAAACGTTACAAGTTGTATGATTAATAATATTAGAAATAATATTACTGTAATTCGATGTTCTTCTTAACCAGTTGTAACGTGTTTAACTTCTTTTTCTCTTTTTTCATCAATATCACCAATTTGATATTTCCTTTTCTAAATTGAGTTATATGTTATTTTAATAAATTGTTTACTTTTATTGGACGTCTATCGGAAGCTGGTAATTGACGTACAACGTTTTAATGAAAACCCATTGCGACGCATTAATCTCCCGCAACAACCTCGACTCCCCTTAAATTCCACTTCAATGTTCTTAACGATTTCTAAGTACTTTAAGCTGCACGTTATCATCTGACACGTTACCTATAATCATTTATATATTTCCTAGTTTAGAATGCTTTCATAGATGCTTTGCATAAAAATAATGTGTGGATATATATGTATGTGTCCACAATATAAATTAATATTTTAATAAGTAATAATATGAAGTACATTCACAGGACTGATAGAATCGATTTTATTATTTGAATGATAATAATATTAATAATTTTATATAGTAACGTTCTCCTTTGTTTTGTACATGTCGTGTGCACAGCATGCTACATAATGCATTGGGTTGGTTTCTGCAAGGCTCTATATTTATCTATTTTCGTGTTTTATTGAAATGCCTAACTATAAAATTAAGATAAACTGTATATTGAACGTTTTCTTTATTTCTGATCATAAATTAATTTACTTCAGTCTGAACTTTTCCAAACCAGCAGATGAGCCTAAAAGTAGACTAAAATGTTTTACCATTTCTTCTATTTAGGAATATTTAGTGCTATGTCAATTTGATTACCTATATCATATATCCAATGTTGAGGTATCAAGTGAAGCCTCGATAATACAGTGTGTTAATTAATTATCGTACCCGACGTCATCATTGCAAGTATGCAACCAACTACACGATTTGCGTATTACAATACCAATACTGTGATATTGGTTGCATACTTGCAATGATGTAGATCGAACTGTGGGAGAGGAAGTGTCTCTTATCCCTCGATCTTGAGATGAAATGCCAATAGAAATAGAAGTTCTATAGAAGTTAGAATATAGAGTGATTTATTTTCCTCCTGTGTACATTATAGATGACAAGCTGATAGGAAGAAAAATCTCGTTATCTCTTTTTCGCTCAGGTAAAACGGCAACGAAGCTAAAGATGTTGACGAATAAAGAGAAAAGAAAGTGTTTTTTAAAAATCCATAGAAATCTTTGAATCCCAAAATTTTAGACACGATAAATCTTTATTATAAAATAAAAGGTTATGTTGAAGCTTGAGCTGAGTTACTTTGAGGTTGGAATAGCTTGCTATGGAGATGAGTTACCTACTAGTCGATTTGCTTCAAGTTACTTTATAGACGAGTTGCTTGGATGTTTAATAGACTTTTTCCAATTCGCACCTGCTGCTCATTTTCTATCTGATGTGTATCTTCTACTATGGCATGGCATCGATTGATCAATAGATATTGCTGATATTTGTGTTAAGTGTGATACTTGAGTTTGCTTAAATCTCAAGTTTGTTCGAAACCTGTTGTTTATCACTGCACAAGGTTTGCTGTGAAGGGTCACTTTCATAAATATAAAAATCGAAGATAGATGAATAGCTATTATAAAAGATTCTGTATAATGAAAAACAAGAAAATCGGTTGTTGTTATAACGATTTAATCTTAAACGAATCAAACCCGAACGATTTATATTTCAATTCCGTTCGAGAACAAATCTAATTCCAAATCAATGCCAAAGTATAAATTCCAGTTAAATGGTGCCCATTAGAACAAATTAGCAAAACCTTTCTCAACTAATTGCCAAGGCAATTTTCAAGACAATTTGAAAAGTATTAGTAAATTAAGACTAATAATATGTTAATATTTTGGTGCAACTGTAATTAATACTGTAAATCTATTCATTTTTGTTATATTTTTTCCTCCAATTTTCAACGCAACTTTTATACAAATAAAAATAAAATTGAACGGGAAGCGTTTGCCTTAAGATATTGCAGACGCTCTAAACAGTTTCATTCAAAGTTTAAATGGAGTAATAACTTTCATTATTGTCGATCGAAAGTACTTGGTAAGTTAGCGGTTTAAGTATTTCAAGACTTAGCGATCCTACGATAACGAACTTAAAATGAAAAAGCCATAAAATTTTTATGTAAAAATATAAGATTAAGTTTAGAACTCTATTAATCTATGTATGTTTTGTACAAGCGTCGGAAAGAATTATGAGAGGAAATCATATTGATGAAAAAAATAGAGTTAATGGTAGAAAAATGAGTTCATAAATTAACAACGAAAATGTTCTTCGAAGAGCTTCAAGAGAACAAAAGTCGAATGATTCTTTTTTTTTGATATTTGACTTTTATGTATCTATATCTCTATCTATATCAATATTCTTTAGAATTGAATAAGTCAAATAAAAGACTCGAAATTAAACGATTTAGTTTACCAAGAATGTAATGATTATTTCAGATTTGAACTTTTTTAAGAAATTAAAAGCATTATTGAGTCAATTTGAGATTTTTCAGCTAGTTCTTCTGCATTACTCTTTAAATTAATATGGTGGGTAAGTTAATGTATTAATTGAAATATTTGGAACAAAACAGGTTGTCTTAATGAATACTCTATCAGCAACCAGTTCGAAGATAAAAATGATTTCATGTTAGAAAGAAGTAAAAATCGACAAAATTGCAATATCTTTATTATCGCTCTTATAACATCTAAACCTCTTTTCAAATTAAAATGATGGGTATGTTTATGAATATACTGAAGTATTTCGAAGAAAAAAAGTTCTCTTAGTGAATGCTCTATCAGCAACCGATTTAAAGATAGACAGGATTTTGTGTGAAAAAGAATGAAAATCGGTAAAATCGAGATAACATTATTTGCTTTCCTATAACTTCTGCAATTAACTCTTTAAATTAGTATGGTGGGTTAATGTATTAATTGAAGTATTTTGAACAAAAAAGGTTCTCTTAATGAATACTCTATCAGCAATCAGTTCAGAGATAAAAATGATTTTGTGTTAAAAAGAAGTAAGAATCGATAAAACAGCAATATCTTTATTATTGTTCTTATAACATCTACATCGCTCTTTAAATTAAAATGATGAGTATGTTTATGAATATACTGAAGTATTTCGAAGAAAAAAAGTTCTCTTAGTGAATACTCCATCAACAACCGATTTGGAGATAAACAGGATTTTGTGTGAAAATGAGTAAAATCGAGATATCTTTATTTGCTTTCCTATAACTTCTGATTTACTAGTTGTTATATCTACTACATATTTAGAAAAAGGGGTTCAAGACAAACGTTTGGGATGCTTAGATTTTTATAATTGCTTGAGAAATTACCAGAATAACAACGTTATAAAATTTTTCAACTTATTACTCAATTATATTTAAAAAAAATTTGATGAAAGGTTGATACTTAAACTTGCAAGTCATACTAGATAATTTTAAACACAAACTCCATAAAAAGTTAAAATGTGATGAAGAGTAAATTAATAAGAATTATATTCATTTTTATGCCGAAACAAATCTTATAATATCTATAGAAGTAGTTAATAAATCTTAGATAACAACTACTAAAACACCAAACGATTTAGTTGTGATTGAATTAGTTGCAATCAATATTTATGTTTCAATCACGTAATTCGTATTTGTAAACAGGAAGATGAAAACTAAAGATGCGTACTATTTTGCATATAGTTTACATGTTTCAATTTATTTAGAAAGGTTGAGAGATAACCATCCATGTTGTGTAACAAAATGTCACGATTTTCACGAATATTTTAACCATTAAAGCAATTCGCGATAACTTGAATGAATTTCTATAAATTCCTATTCCAACGATTTTAAGTGCACTTAACTTATCTTACTTATCTTTAATGATAAATTGACTTCGATATAAAGAGAGAATTTGTTAGAATGAATCGTATCGAACTTATTAAGATAATTATTATAAAATAACACTTTATAAAATTTTAAAGATCCGTGTCTTACCCGTTTTCGCGTTTAAATCCTATACAATTATTACCCAGTTGTTAAACATAGAAAACAAGTTAGTTAATATAAAAGTGAATCACTTAATGAGGTATTTCCTTGCGCGTGAAAGTGTACCGTGCAATTTACAACAATTAAAAAACCATCCGAAATAAGCTGTATGTGTGAGAACTCGTGGTGTTTCACGCTTTCTTCGTGGGCCAAGCGTTTTTCAACGCAACGAAGACCACAGTAGTCGCGATAAAAATTTCTTTTAACATTTCTAAGCAGTATTTTTCTTTCTCTTTCTTATTTTTTTCGTTATAATTCTCTTTTTGCGTTAACGCCACCGGTTAATTGTACGGTTTCACTTGTTGTCTTCTCCTCAAACCGTAAACTTGAGTTTTTGTACTTAAATTAGGTATTATAAGTTGTTATTAAATTTAATGTAATATCTTAAATTATTTCTTAAAAATTTTTAACTCTTAACGCCATCTCGTTGAATGCGTTAGAACTTAAGACATTTGAACGAAATTGAAGTTATAAAGATTACTAAGGCTATTTAATTAGTAATAACTTACATCATCCTCGTCGAGTTGTCCATAAACTTCCAATTTGTCCAAACGGATGGTTCCTTGGAATGGATAACAGAGTGTTCCTTGCGAAATCGGGCTGTTGGACCAAACCGAAACTTCAGGTTCTGTCGTTTTCCTTGATCCCAATGGAGGTCCTCGCACACACAAGCTGAATTCTTGCGGAATTAACACGCAGGTTTCCATTATTTTTGATTTTATATAAAACTACCCTTTTTCTTAGAAAGTTCTTGTGGAAGAGTCCTTTAAAGTCCAATAAACAGCACTTAACAAAATAACTAATGTTTTTTTTCGAAAACAAGTTTATGATTTTGTTATTAACTAAGAGGGGTTTTTATTATAGATAAGTGGTGATTAAAAAAACTTAATAACTAAATAACTTTTTCTTGAAATTTTTCGTTGAAAAAGTTTTTGTTCAAAAAAGCTTCGATTTTTGCAAAGTTAAAGTTTAAGGAACCTGCGCGCGCGCGCGTTCACAGGTTCTCGGGCGCCCGTGATCTGTGAGTTACTTGTTGATCTAATGGCCACAGCCTTGCTCGAGTGGCACTGAACTAACATTGACCCTCAAGACTTCTCACTCCGGCCCGATAATCCCCACCAGGGCCGCCTCACACGCGTGGTCTACCTGGTGGAGACTCCGGTTTGACTTAACAGGTGCAATCGGAGCGACGCCCATGAAGCCGTTCGCTCGCTCACTCACAACCGCCACCGCCAAGCCACTGTTGCTTGTGCTTCTCTACCTTACTGTTGCTTCTTCTTCGTCTTCTTGTCCTTAGCAGCAGTTATACAATGACAGACAGATCTACTGTACCTTCTGATCATATTTCTACAACTACATTTCACTTTCAATATTACTACTTCCTTCAATCCTAGCACATAGACCAAATAATTATGTAATTGAAACTTTATTTTCAATTCATTACAAATCTTAAAAAAGTCAAACAAGTTAACAAATATTTTCACTAATATAGAATTTGGAAGGTTTCGTGCTTTACCTAGTATTTAGATCTCTTATAAGACTTGATTAAATTTTGCGATATTACTCAATCTTCATAGACCAAATAATTATGTAACGCTTTATTTTCAATTCATTACAAATCTTTAAAAAAATCAAACAAGTTATCTCCAAATATTTTCACCAATATGGAATTTGGAAGGTTTCGCGCTTTACCTAGCATTTAGATCTCTTATAATACTTGATGAAATCTTGATAAATAAAACAATTTTATATCATAGTAACTTATTTCATGAATACAAAATAGCTATACGATTAAACTTAATATGTAAAATTTGCATTAGCGTTTTAACCACATCATTTTCCGGAAATTTATGAGGAGAAATGCCGCACTCGCAGTTTTTACCATTCTCAATCGAGCAAAACGCAATCTATAAATCCCTGCGTATAATCACTCAGTGAAAGGCGACTTATAAATAAACAAACGCGTTCATAGGTAATTATAAATGTCGAGCTTCTTTTTTTTTGATTATTTACCTACATCAAATGTGTTTAAGTAACTTTGCAAAACAAATTCCTTCCCAGATTAAGTATTTTATTCAATAGATCGTTGTTGAACCGGCAGCCAACTGCGATCCCATCCAAAGTCTCTACACAGGTAACTTGATATATACACCTGTCGGTGTTACGGTCGCAAGGCGGAGTCTAGAAAGTCCAATCTCCAATCACGGTTGGAGATCTTGCGCACGTCCAGCCAATGAACTTGAACCCCCGCTTCACAGAGTATCAGTTGAAGTGGGAAAATTTGCATCCAAGTCGCCCACTTTTATTCTTTTATTCTTTGATTTTCAAAAAACAAATACTTAAATTAAATGGAATTTCCAGGCAGATGTCTATAATTACTTTAGAGACATAAGAATATGCCATTTAAACATAACCGATAATTTTTTGTGCATACCAATCGGAAATTATTTCTAAATTATTCATCGAGAATGTTATGCATAAATATACAAAAGATGAACCAAAAATTGCAATGGTTTCGTTTAAATTAAACACCCTGTATTCAAATTCTTTATAACAACAATAATAATGTTTATAGTTTAAGTCCATATAAATTCATAACCATATAATTAAGTTCTAGATGCCTTAGCTTCTCAAATTCTAAACTCACTAAAATCTAGAAGTAAACATATTTTATTTTGCAAATACTGTAATTAAAAAGAACTCCAAAGCAGGAACTAACCTAAATAACGACCTCAACTAAAGCACTCTACAAGCTTTGCAGACTTCATTTCTATAGACCTAAAATGTGCAAATTTTACCCGAATTTAAATCTATAACACTATAGGTGTTAACTATAGGGATTTGCAAAAGTAAACTTTCTACATCCACTTGTAAACAAAGTTTGTGGATGATCATTAGAGCTCGGATTTTTATGCAGTCAAATTATAGGAAATATACGCATAAATATGCAAGCTTTTTATTCAAAATATGCAAAAAAATATGCAATAATATATAGAAATATGCAAACAAATACCTTTCTTATAGTTGTTATCAATCTATTTCTATCACATTTTTGTATATGTTTTGCACTTTTCACATGTTCTATTTATTTTCTTCCTCTCACACATTATCTTAAAAAGGAATAATTAAAAAAGTTAGCCATAGATACTCGAACAGATGAAAATTTAATTTTAAGCCTATAAAACAGATTCGTATTTTTCATTGTCGATTGTCTAGAAACATATAAAAACATATTCCAAGAAGATGGGACATCAAATTTAATATAGTTTTATTTAGTTTTAGTTTAATTTTCCATTTTTTTAACTCCTGGTGTAAAAGTTTATGAGAAATACAATTTCGGAACAAACCATTGGCAACTCCTTTAAAAACTCTAATTATTAGCTTAAATCTTTGGCGAAAACGCTACGACATAATTTTTAAAAAATACTTACAACTTTGGCACAAGTTTTACAAAATAATTCCTCATTAATTAAATTTAGTTCGGGATAACTTTTTATTCACTGGGACACAAGACACGATATCACTTTAGGCATTGTTGTTATAGATTGGTAGATTAATATTCACTCACACTGAACACAGCCACAGTAACTATGGTTGGGGATTTCCTTAAACTTAAACTCAACGATGCTAGGGTTTCCCCGCATGTTTTTGTGAATCGTTGTAAACAAGAAATCAACCCGCAATCAAAAAATATCCTGTATTGTGCTTTAAACTAAAAGGTATGTTCGCATATTTAAAAATCACGCAGTCATTATATTTATTTTATTAAGCAACAAGAACAAATCTATAGTAAAATGACAAAATATGTGAAAATACGCAGTAAAAGGCCAATTTATGCAACAATCAAAAAAATTGGAAAAATATGCAAAATATGCAATTTTTTTATTGTACCATCTGCCTTATTTTTATGTAATTCGCCCAGAAATCAATTTTGAAAAAAATATTCCAGAAAATAAAGAAGATGCATTTTGCATAAAATCCGAGCCCTAATGATCATATATAGATTTGAGATTTGTAGCCGACGCCGCTACCTCAATTACTTACCCAACAATTTCACCTACTGTGTTTTTAACATTCCATAAGAAAAAAAAATATAGAAGTTCCATAGACTTTAAATTTAAAAACTATACATCTAGTTGGCTAGTACATAAACCGTGACTTTCTTGTGACCTTCTGCAAAAAAATCTTGAATCTATAGCATTAAAAACTACACAGCGGAAAAGCTTCACAGGCTTTCCATAAAGTACTTTAATTAATCATTATTGGATTTTAAATCGCCTACAAAGCTCTTTAGGTTCTAAATTTGAATCCACAGCATTAGAGATGTGAGTAGAATGAACTAAACAGATTACAGAATTAGTTGTAAAGTTTTAGAGTTGTACAGGGTGCTCCAAATTCGTTGTCCGCAAAGGTTAAGATAGGGCAAAAACAAAAAAAAAACGATGGCTGTTCAAAGTTTTCGACATTAGCAGTTTCTCGAAAAACAAGATTATGGCAAGACAGCTACTTTTTTTCTATCCCTTTTAGTTTCGGCGATAGCCTATGCGGACAACGAATTTGGGAAATCCTGTATATTCAAGCTTCTGTGGATTGAGTTATTTATTAAATCATTAAGTATTATGGATAACGAGCCATAATACTTATTATGTATCAAAATTCTCTTTAAATTGTTCGCAAATTTTTGTGTGATATTTCTTCTTAAAAGAGTCATGTCAGTAAATCCCGATTTGACCTTATTAATTGAAATTAAAAAATTGCCAAAGTGATTATTTGCACAAAATATGTAATCCAGACAACTACAGACTAGCACAATTGCATCTACCATTTTTAATTACACCTCAAAATGATTTGCAAGATTTCATTTGCAAGGAACTGAACGGTTGCGGTACATATCGATTAAATGTATTACAGCAGAATTGGCCAATTCAATGTTAAATCACACTTTCTGCTCTTATAAAAAATAATGTGTGCCAATTTGCCGAGTCAGTGATTTCTTTCATACACACAGTATGCTAAAGACAGCATTACACCAACTATAGATATTCTCCACCCTGGCACTGTAATAAATAATCTGGAATGCGCTGTCTAAAAATAATCAAGTGGTTTATCGAAACGGTTTTGTTATTTGGTATCGTTAGCCTAATTTGTTAACATGTTAAGTTCATTTTGACAAATTTTACAAAAACAACAAAAGCACCTAATATTAAAATTACTGTGTGGTGTTCAGAAATATTAACATTTTGAACACACCATAAAACTTACAAAATACAACTTGTAGAATATAGATATTATATTAATTTTTTGCTTAGGTGGCCGATGAGAAAAATTCAAAATAACTTAGGTACATCAAGTAAATGATTTTATTTCTATGAAGATTCTTGAGCTTGCTCCATGAATACCAGTTTACATTTGATAATTTTCTTTTCATTTGTGCTATTGATAAAGTGCCTTTACAATTCTATGTAAGACAACGTTAACAACTTCAATTCACGTTCTAACTTTCCAGCGCATCATTTTCATCGTTATCACCAGGACTAGCAGTTTCAAGAGCAACCTCTAGTATTTCAGCTGTCTTAATTATGATAATAATCAAACTTTCTCCACCAATTGCATGCGTGATTGCAATAATGTTGGGAAATTCGGTTGTATAAAGAATGAATGAATCGCTTCCTAACACACATTTCATGTTGTAGATTTCAACAATTCAATGGCGATTAGTGTTTCATCATTAATTTTGTTCAAAACATGTTGGTATGTTCGTACTATGTTTTAAGTGTCATAATAATACCTTGGTTTGATTAACTGGCTGTATTAAAGAAGTTGTATTTCGTGGTACAAATACAATTTAAACGTTTGGATCAGAAAAGTTTTAAATTCGAAATTTTTCAAATTCATATATCGTCTGACATCTGGGATGAAACATTTCTTGAACCATAGTATCTTTGACATTCAGTGAAAAAGTAGTTTACTGATATCTATACCCTTCATTGAACGTGGCATTTCTGCATGTGTCATACCATTTTATTTTGTGAGTTGTAATCTCTGTATGAGTTGTCAATAAATATTATTATTATTATTATTAAAATAACCAGCAGTTCGATATTCGTTTCCAGAAGAGACCACTT